AGCTGGATCGGGTATCGGCAATAACAGGCTGATCTGGTATCGGATACCATTATTTTAATAAATACAAATTCAGTTCATTAATATCTATGTATTTATTTGTTCAATTTTGTTTTAAAGTCAATTACTGATGTTGCCTTGAACACATAAGAATGATCACAGTGTCCTCCATATTGTGAGTCATACAGCTTATGCTGGGGAACAAAACAGTAGACTACGATTGGGGAGAAGGATGAACCTCCACAGCTGCAGCAGTTATGTTATGATAAACTGATGATGTAGTTTTGGGCTTTCACTCAGATACAAACTTTACCGGGACACAGTATGAAGAATAGTGCAGTGAACTTCTCAAAAGAAGTTAATATATCATATTTTTATCAACTTTGAATAAAGATTTTGTTTACCAAGTGAAACACTCATGCATCATGAGCAGAACTATTCATAAGTCATACAGACAACAATCCGTTCCCTGTCTGTACCTGTTATAACTCAATATGCACTGGGTAATTCAAAAAGTAATCATGTTGTAATTTGTCTCTATGTCCTCCCTAACAACTTTATACCCATTGCTATGTACCCAGTAAGCATCCCACAGGTGTTCGCTTTCTGCAAAGTACTTAAATGTTGCAGAAATGAATGTTGACATGTTTTATATGTCAGGTAATGACTTGGAATAAAGTTGACTAAGGAGTTGAAACAAAGAGGTGGGTGATAATTTATACTGTATGCTTTATAAACAGTCAAACCTGACGGGGTCATTTTTGACCCCAGAGGACAACAGGTGTGATTATGTGCTGCCATTAGAAAAATTCAAATGATTCAAGAACAGCATCCTCACTAAACTTTGATATGTACCTCTCTGTGATAAGTCAAATAGTAAAAAATAATATAAAGTCAAAATAATTCATTGTTTCATTGTATTTTCACTCAAAAACAGGGTATACTTTTATGTAAACAAGGTCTATTGGCCCTAAATTCCAAAATGAAGGGAACGATTTGTGGTAATGTGTTGGACTGAAGTAAGACTAAAGGTGTAAAACAGAATTGATTGACAATTTATACTGTATGCTTTAAAAACAGTCAAACCAGGTGGGGTCATTTTTGACCCCAGAGGACAACAGGTGTATGGCAGTCGGGAGGACAACACAAGGGTTTTAATTTGTGGGCTGTAATCCAAAACATAACCAGATGCTCCAACCAATATAAAACTCAATTGTGTCCTTTATATGCACTTGTGCGTTTGTTTCTGGGGGGTATATATAAATATATATATTTATTGTGTACTGGCAGATTTACTGTTGTGTGCATCATGTGCGTAAGTGAGCCCTGTTGAGCTCCACCTGGCTAATGATCTGCCTGACAGCCAGTAGACAGGGAGAACTGGGCAGTCGCACCACATGTTATTATCGAGCTAATTGTGTTTAGAATTCAGTACCCCAAGATCCATTTCCTGCAAGCTAACGTGGCCGTCTGAGGGTTTGAATGAAAAGATGTGTATCAAAACCCTGGCTGGTCTGGACTGAATGGGGATTTCTTTAATCAGATTTTAGAGAGAGCTGATAGACTTTTCCACATTTTGCATCTGCGTGTTAAGAATTCCGATGAGTATATTTCCAATCCCTGGTGGACTTGAAGTTAAACAATCTACACTGGTAATATGCTGATCCAACTGTGCCCCTATGGCATGTAATGTTTCCTCACCTGTGTGGAGAAAAGTGCTCAGTGTGGGACTGACCTTCACAGAGATTAGAAATAAGACTCCTGTATTATTGAGTGAAACCCTCGTTCCCTGCAGATGCATAATTACTGGAAATGAGATCAGACGGCAGTTGGATCTAAATCACATAAATGCAGACAGACTAGAGTTGCAATTTATGATTCTTTTCCTAATCGATGAATCTGTTCATTACTTTCTTGTTTAATTAATTGACCAGGTTGATATATTAACATTGCTTGTTTTGTCCAAACAATATCCAGTTTACTATAACGGAAAAATAAGAAATCCTGCATATATTTATATTTGAGAAGGCGCAAACATCGATTTTTTTTTGATACTATAACCTTTCAACTATACCTCCATTATCAGGTGAACATTTTTATTTGTCCAATACTTTTATTTCTCGGGTGTTCTTTATGTTTAGTGCTAAATATCAAATTTGAGCTAAGATGGCGAACATGGCAAACATTATATTGCTAAACATCAGCATGTTAGCAGTGCCATGGTGAGCATGAATGATGATTTTAGCATTTAGCTCAAATGAGCAGCTCATATAAATAGAGCGGGTCCTCTTCACGGAGCCGGCTGAGATGTTTCTACAGTAGCCCAGAACGGACACACCAAACACTGGCTCTTGATAAGGCCATTCTGGGGAGAAGTTTCAGTTGGTTGCAATCTGCAACCTCAC